CTTACCCCCACAGTATTTGTTTCCAGAGAGTAAGTCATCTCTGTACCAAGTTTGGTTGAAATTGCTCGAGGCATTCCAGAGTTATGCTGGAACATATATACACACAGCCATTTTTAGATAGATAAATAGATAGATAGATAGATAGATAGATAGATAGATAGATAGATAGATAGATAGATAGATAGATAGATAGATAGATAGATTATCCCATTGATAATTGAGTCGGGCTCAACTTAATGACTGCTTTTGCCCCGGTCTTTAAATGAATCCAGATGTAAATGGAGATCACATGACCTGGGACACGGCAAACATTCTAAATACATGCCGGTTGCTAAGCACCCAAATTTTGATGATATATCCATGGGGGATGCTGCAACAGTTATAAGTGCGAGAACCCGTTGTAAGTCAGTTTTTCGGTGTCCTGGCAACTTTGAATAGTCTTTAAAAGAAAGGTTGTAAGCTGAGGATTACTTTACGGTATATGCAGGTAGTCCTCGACTTACGGACGCAATTGAGCCCAAAATGTCTGTTGTTAAAGTGAGACATTTAATTAAGTTAGTAACCCAGTTGTTAAGTGAATCTGGCTTCCTCATTGACTTTGCTGGTCAGAAGGTCGCAAAAGGGGATCGCATGAGCCCGGGGCACCGACACCGTCATAAGTAGGAATCAGCAGCCAAGCGCCTGAATTTTGATCGCGTAAGGCGCTGCAAAGGTTCGAAACTGCGAAAAAAAGAGCTTTTTCAGTGTCGGCATCACTTTGAACAGTCACTTAATGAATGGCTATAAGTTGAGGACTAACCTGTATTTAGGGCTCTCATAGCTGGGCTGCTAAATTTCAGATGGACACTAGATGGCAGCAGCAGGTTAAGACTTTAGGTCTCTTTGCTGCCACCTGCTGGCTTCCAGAATATTGCAGCTCCCCTACTCAAAATGGCGCCGCCAATTCCAGCTTCACATCACTCAGCGACAGGCAGCTGTAGGCCAGGTGCAGCGCTCAGGAGAAGGGCACACTCGAGTGTCATGCGCAGACCAGCGCAGCCTGCGTGCCGGGGCTGAGAGCTTGGCACCCCTCTGGCATAGCAGCACCGAAAGGTCACCGGGGAACGTCAAGCTGGAATCTCAGCCATTCCACGGGGTTGTTTTACTCGAAATTGGCCGGGCTGGGGGAAACGTGCCAGGCTCCCAAGAATGTGCCACCCATTCAAACGCAGATTTATTTTCCTCGTGACCTCCTGGTGCTTAAGGCCGTCCTTGAAATCGGAGAGTTCAGATGAAGAGAGTTGGAAGGGACCTTGTAGGTCATCTAGCCCAACCCCAGGGAATCAGGGAATCCCTGCAGTGAAAAAGTTCATAACACCNGTTGATGCAGCCTAGAACTGTGTTGGCTTTTTTGGCAGCTGCTGCACCAAAGATATCTAGCGCCTTTTTAAGTTGGAAGTTTTGGTGTATGTTTTAAAAGTATATAAGGAACGATTGTCTCTGTAAAAACGTATTGTCAAAAGAAAAGAAAAAAAAACACAACCTTGTTCCTCATACCCCAAGCCGGATTCCTACAAAGCGTCCTTGTGTTGTTTTTGGCGAGGAGCTTGAAAAAGGAATCAAGATATTTGACTTGCGCTGACCTTTCTTCCTCTCCGAAGGGCCCAAGGAACCAGAAATAAAATTTAATCTTGTTTGTCAACAGGGCATGTCCTTATTGAGATTTCCATTGCTCAAAAGAAACTCAACGACAAGCTAGAAGAAAACGTGAGTAAATCTCCCCGCAGCGCTTTCAAATATTGTACAACTATTTTCATATGAAGCTCTACTAACCCTTTCGCCCTTCTGTCGGCTTTCTGTGACTACAGTTCAAGAAATTCCATAAAGAAATTATATCAGAGCTGGAGAAGAAAACCGAACTAGATGTAAAATATATGAACGTAAGTATATCAATTTTTTTTAGTGCCGGAGAAGATTAAGTGTAAGCATTTGCTAGTTTCTTGGCAGCAGCCACGAATCAGCCGTGTTTCTGAGATGACCACCAACCTTCCTCATCCTCTGTAAAACCTAGGTATTTAGTCTATTGTGAGTAACATAGTTTTATGCTGGAATTGATGACGTTACCTAGTTGGGTCGTGCAACGTCGCCAAGAGAACAACCAAGTTCAGAGAGGACCAAGGAACCCCACCCCACCCCCAATAATATAGTTTTAATTTGGAAGAAGCTGTGGATTCATTCTCTGGTTCAGGGGTAGGATTCAGCCGCTTCGGATCAGTTTGGGTGGACGGGATGCAATTTTACATCTGGTTTGCCAGGACTGGCTGGCCCCGCCCTCCATTCCCTCCCAGGAGTCTCCACGTGGCCTGTTTTGGATGCCAGATAAGTGCAGGGCCCGCGTGGAAGTTCTGGAAGGATGAAACACAGGCCTCCCAAAAGTTCCACAAGTCCAGAAATAGCCCCATTTCCTGCTTTCGGAGCCCTGGGGAGGCTGTTTTTGCCCTCCCGAAGGCTCGGGGAAAGACTCTGGAGCTTGGGGAGGGTGAAACCCTCCCCCTCACACACGCACACCATGGTGCAGGAGGCTGAGTAGGCCACGCCCACCATAGCCACGCCCACCCAGCAACCAGGCAGAGTACCGTTGCTAAAATTTTTGAATCCCACCCCTGCTCTGGTTCCTTCTGTCAAGCGTTCTCCTGCTTTGATGTCAACCAAATCTAGGTATCCCTTTTTTTCACGGAGCAAGGTTGGAAATCCATATGCCTAAAGGGGAGATAAGATCTCCATGCATAAATAAGATAAATTAAAAGAAAGTAGCAAGAGATATGAAGAACCTCTGGCTTTCTACGAACAACTTCTCTTACTTCTATTTTTCTGCTCCCTCCTGCATGTTCCTTTCGTAATTTTTCAACGGGTTGGAGCATGTCCTAATAAACTATGATGACTATAATATGGTTTATTCCCTACAGTTTCGGAAACGGCAGGGGACAATCTCCTCTTTTATTTAGCATCCCATTGTCAGCATCCTCCCCTAAGTAGGAGCCTGCGAGGACCAGATTCCCAACCTCAAAAGACCTCTGTGAGTTTTTCTCCTTCCAGGCTACCCTGAAGAGGTACCAGAACGAACACCGAAGCAAATTGGATTCCTTGGAAAAATCTCAGGCCGAGCTGAAAAAAATCAGGCGGAAAAGCCAAGGGGGACGAAACGCTGTCAAGTACGAACATAGAGAATTTGAGGTTGGTACCTTCCACCAGCGGTGGGATTCAACCGGTGTAACAACCGGCGGGCCAAAGTGGAAACGAGAAGTGAAATCTTGGCATCCATTTGCATGTAATCCAGATTCAAACCTTTTCTCCTCCTATTTGGAGTATCCCAAAGTGCCGTAAGATTTTTTTTTTTTTAAAGCATGCGTTTGGGGCTAAAGTTAAGTCTCTTGACACGAGGCGGCAAGAATATTTATAGGCCTTTTTTGCATGTCAACAGATAATCTCTGTCCTGGAAAAATTAATTGGCTATTGTGTAAATTGGCAGCTTTATCAAGGGAATACCTGCGTTGAAGGATAAATGATATTTGTGCGTGTTGATACAGAGTGGCAGAATGCGACCGGACTGCGCGCTTCTCTTTTGAAAAAAATTGAGAGTTTGAAGCGGCCGTTAAACTCAAGTTATACAAGAATCCCTGTTCACCAGGCCTTTCTTATACAGTACTAGCTGATATCCTGGCATTGCCCAAGTTTTTATTTATCCTAATCCTGTATTAGACAGGATTTCTAATGTTGGTTTTTCCCCCTTGCTAGAGGGAGTACTGTGAAGCCATTACCATGGCAACTCCACTGCGCTGTACAGTAGAAGCCATTTTAAGGCACAACAGGTTGTATCTTAACACGACACACTAACTGAGGGGTGTTAGGGGTGTTCCCCCCACCAACATTTTTCTGCAGAGAGTAAGTCATCTATGTACCAAGTTTGACTGAAATTGCTCAAGGCGTTCCAGAGTTATGATGGATCATATACACACACACAGCCATTTTTAGATAGATAGATAGATAGATAGATAGATAGATAGATAGATAGATAGATAGATAGATATTTTGTTAGCAATAGGGAGGATAGATAGATAAATATTAATAGCGATAGAGTAGATAGATGGATGGAGGGAGGGAGGGAGGGAGGGAGGGAGAGAGAGAGAGAGAGATTCATTATTGGACTGTTGATGAGATAAGATTTCCTAGAAAATGGACTGGTAACATCTTAAATAGCACAAAGTGTGCGTTGGTTTGTGTGACTGTCTGAATCTGGTCTTTTCATGCTTTATCTAGTATTTGGAAACCGTGAGCTCCCGACAGAGCGATATTCAAAGATTCATTGCGGAGGGTTGCAGAGAGGCCTTACTTGAAGAGAAGAAAAGATTTTGCTTCCTGGTTGACAAGCACTGCAGTTTTGCGCAACGCCTCTTCCATTACCACGTGGAGGTGAGTGTGGAAGGAGGAGAAATTAAAACATGGCCTCCCCAAAGTTGGTCCGAAAACCTTTGCCCCCGCGGAGCAAAAGGGTCATCCCAAACCGTAGCCAATTCCTAGACTCGCTCGAGAGAAGTGTCTTTGTTTTCTTGTTATCTATTGACGAAATGTACCGCATGTATTTTCATCGTGGTCTCTGTAGTGCTCGGAGATACTTAGCCACAAGATGCCGGGGTGGTTGGCAACCTGCAGCGATGCAACCAAAGTTCCGCCGACTGTCATGAACATGATCGAAGAGATCAAGACACCGGGATCCCTTTCGATAGCGGGGACTCCCCTGCCTTCTCCGATGATCGAGAGGCGTAACCTGGTGAGACCCCCACTTCCGCTTCTATTTCACCTTCGGAGCCGAGTTTAGGGAAAAGAGAGATGTGAGCAGAAGAATCAACATGATGGACCCAAATGTAAAATTTAAACACCCAGAAGGCATAAGGTGGGACTAGAACTCACCATCTCTGGGTGATTGGCCCAAAGTCACCCAGCTGGCTTTCATGCCTAAGCGGGACTAGAACTCACCATCTCCTGGTGATTGGTCCAAAGTCACCCAGCCACCTTTCATGCCTAAGGCAGGACTAGAACTCCCCATCTCCTGGTGATAGACTCAAAGTCCAGTTCGCTTTGATGCTTAAGAGGACTAGAACTCCCAATCGCCTGGTGATTGGCCCAAAGTCACCCAGCTGCCTTTCATGCCTAAGGCGGGACTAGAACTCACCATCTCCTGGTGATTGGTCCAAAGTCACCCAGCCACCTTTCATGCCTAAGGCAGGACTAGAACTCCCCATCTCCTGGTGATAGACTCAAAGTCCAGTTCGCTTTGATGCTTAAGAGGACTAGAACTCCCAATCGCCTGGTGATTGGCCCAAAGTCACCCAGCTGCCTTTCATGCCTAAGGCGGGACTAGAACTCACCATCTCCTGGTGATTGGTCCAAAGTCACCCAGCCACCTTTCATGCCTAAGGCAGGACTAGAACTCACCGTCTCCTGGTGATTGGTCCAAAGTCACCCAGCCACCTTTCATGCCTAAGGCAGGACTAGAACTCACCGTCTCCTGGTGTTTGGTCCAAAGTCACCCAGCCACCTTTCATGCCTAAGGCAGGACTAGAACTCACCG